CCTGGATTATACGGCAGTGATGATCGAATGCAGGCTTGCATGGCTGAGCTAGGCGTGCCACTTACCAAGGAAACTGGATTTCATCAGGTACGAGGGAAACAAAAGATGAAAATGTTTGAAAATCGGTAGATTTTCTGTTTGTTTTCCATTTTTTTCCTGAGTATTTTGATTGAATCGGAAAATTTTGGATCCGAATGAAGTGGAAATGTTCATTTGTTTATTTACGACTGTGTCATCTGCCACTTCATTCGGTGACAAGAATTTTGCGATTTAGTACTAGTGAGTTACATTCTTATTGAGTATTTTGCATCAGCCATTTTCTGGCTTCAATTTTTGTGGCTTTTTCGTAGATGAAATTTTATGTGGTGGAGTTTTCAGGTGTCATTTTACATTTCTTGGTAAGCAAGAATTGTTGAAATAACTTCCAAATACAAACTATGAACTCTGTGTCTTGTGCTTGTGCAGTATGATGTGTATGGAGACCTACTAGGCCTTCTGAGCGCACATCCTGTGACTCCATTGGTGTCGCTTCACCACCTGGATGTAGTTGAACCAGTTTTCCCGCACATGAGTCGAGTGAAAGCGCTTCATCATCTATCCCGGTCCGTCAAGCTTGACTCAGCTAGTATAATGCAGCAATCAATCTGCTACGATAAAGATCGATACTGGTCCATCTCTGTATCATGGGGCTATGTAGTTCAAATTGTTAGGGGAATCATGTCTCCGAGAGAACTAGAGACGCCCTCCAGAACCTTTCTGAATTGGTATAGAAGAGCTGATTACACAGCATATGCATTCAACACTAGGCCTGTGTCCAAGCACCCATGTCAGAAACCCTTCATTTTCTACTTGAGCTCAACTCGCTATGATGAGGGTAGAAAGAAAATCATTGGCTACTACACTCGTCACAAATCTCCCGTTCCTCACTGCCGATGGAAAATGGCCTCACCAGAACAAGTTGATTCCATCGTAGTACTGAAAAGGCCGGATCCTCTTCGTTGGGAAAAGGTATGGTGTTTCCAGCACATGAAATTTGACTCGTCATTTGAATGCATGGTTTCTTTTACAACACGTAAAAGCATATAGCAATCAGACTTATGAATTAGGGTTACTGATTTTACTGCACTCACAGATCCTAGATTCCTAATACAATCCTCATATTTTTCGTTCACAATTCCGTTACTAACTGAAAGAAACTTCCTTTTGCAGTCACCAAGGAAAGATTGTTGTAGAATTCTTCCATCGCAGAAGAACTCGACCATGTACTTGTTGGTCGACAATTGCAGACTAGGTGAGGTTAGTGAGTTATAGGTAGCTTATAGGAATTGGGAAACATATCTCCTTGATCTATTTTTTTGTATCTGGTTCTGTTTCCCGCGGTCGAGATTCTTGATGGGAACAGAATACAGAAAGCTCAATAGAAAGTTCATAGAATATCATCAATGAAATGAGACAGCTACTGAGTTGTAACTTCATCATTAGAGGGAGTTAAATTCGGATTTTGTTCAAGTTCTCTCCCGTTCCTTCGGACCAGGATCCTCTCCGAATCCTTTTTGAGGGGATCCTAGGATCCTAGGGATCAATTCATCGTAGCCGTTAACTACATAGCTCCATGACCAAATGGACGGCAGTGGCGTTCTCGTAGATGCCGTGGATTCTGACGACGTGGGGGTCCTCGGAGAGGTGGTGCATGATATGAATCTCTCGCTAGACATCCTCGTAATCCTCCCATCATAGGAGCTTGCGCTTGGGGATGGACTTGCAGGCGTAGGGGTGTCCGAAGGAGATTTCAGTGCAACGTTTGCGAGGCGGTGGAGGCGAACGTCCTCTGTTGCGTTGACGAGGCGGCGCTGTGCTAGATGTGCGACGAGAAGGTTGACAAAGTGAGCAACCTCGTCAGCAAACACCAGAGGGTTCCTCTGTCCTCCCACGTGCCCAAATGCGATATCTACCCGGTAAACTTCAAAGTTCCGAGTCCCACAGCGAAAAAGTCGACAAATTTGATCGTATAAACACGAAATTCAAATTGGGTTTTGCTTGAATTTTTGTGTGTTTATGATTTACATGAGGCTGTTGAGTACTTTTCTACTTAGAAGATCGAGCCTTGCTACGTGGAAAGGATAAAAGAATTCAAAATGATTTCCAGCCTCGTGGTGTACGGCTAGATTGAATTGATTCTTAAGATTCTCACAGATATGATCCGGTCTCATTCCTTCACCACTAATTATTAGAATGGTATTATTTTTAAGGCCTAATTGGATAAATGGTCTCCCGTGGTTATAAGGTATTCGGAAGATAGCCCTTGTAGTAAAAAAAATGCACATTTACCCCTGTGATCTAAGTTTGTTAGGATTTATGCCCGAAATTAGAACTTCTGTTATCCCTCCGTTAGTAGCTTGCAGGTGGGTCTCACAGGTAAGACTAAGATGGTCATTTCATCCTTTCCATTTCATCCCTTCCATTGTTGATCTCCTTTCAGAACAATGAAACGGTCATTCATAAAACTAGGTTGGGTTTTACGAAAATTTGTAATGACATTAACTAAGTTGGAAAATAGTGAGGTGAGGTCATGAAATGCTTTTAGAACACCAAAAACGCTTATAACATATTTTTCAAAAAAATGTTCAAAATATTTTATAAATAGCTGGGCTACTCTCGGTATAGCAATTAATTGTGTGGTGCAACATCAACTTCTCCAATATTAAAAAACACTATTTTTCAAAAAGAAGTACATGATGTATGCTTATTTTAGGAAACACTTATATTAAAGTTTTGGATGTGCTTCTAATGGAAGCCCATAAGTGATTTTCTAAGAGCAACTCCAACGTTGCAAAGGCCCCCTAGGGCAACTCACTATTGAATAGCCTTCAGTGATCAGTAACTGCCTTTTGTATCTCCACCCCTAAACTGAATAGTCATGGCAATAGGCAATAAAATATTAGTATTTTTTATTTTATAAAATAATAAAAAATAATTTTATTTGTAATTTCATATATGATTTTTAATCGGTCTCGTTGTACCACATGTCATTAAATAAGAAATTACAATCCAAAGTATTTGAGAAAATATAAAATTATGGTGTAAGTTGGAAGATAATGATAACATATTTATAGAAAAATTAAATCAATTTTTTTTTCGGATTTTTTTATTAATTTTTTACTTTTTTCATTAATATTTTTCTTTTTTTAATTAATTTCTAATTAATTTTTTATATTTTTATATTGTGGCTGACGTCAATCATTCATCACTTGGACCTCAGGCTCTCGGACGATGGATTCCCGTCTGGCCTGTCCATCGGGCCTCCCCCAAGTCCCATTACCCACATGGGCTAGAGCCGATTGCTGGGGCAATTGGATAATTGGAATCGCCGGTCCATCGGGGCTAAAGAGCACACTGGACTTGCTCCAAACAAGCATATCCAAATGGGTGTCAATATACTTCCATAAAAGCACTTCAAACAAAAATACTTGGATGAGTTATCAGTTTTGTATAGACACACTCCCAAACGGAAAACCATACCTTCCGCGAGTAGAACTCATAACCAATGATAACTTGATGGGAAAAATGAAGATATCAATTGCATCAATTTTGGTACAGCTTTTCCATAAGAGAGTGTATGCACGACTCTCTCTCTCTCTCTCTCTCTCTCTCACAATAATGTAATAATAATGGATGATGATGAATGCCTTGGTTTTATTAGACAAATCTTTGAATGTGGTAACACTTTCCCAATTGGTCAAGCTTTGCATGGTATTATCTCTCATCACGTCTTGTCACCAAATAGAGCACAAGCATCACGTTTTGTACCAAAGCAAACATGGTGCCTTTTTGCATGGTCTATCACCCTCAAGTGATAAAATTTAAATTTTGAGATTTATGTCTATTCATTATATAAATTTAAATTTTAAATTCATTCAACGATGATAAATAGGATGGTGAATAAAAATATTCCCAGAGCAAACATTCTCTAACGATTTTGGCACTCCCAGTTTTGACTACCCACGCTTACAAATTGAGTATCTTATGATTTTTGACACTCACAATGCATGTGTTGGATGCTAAACTGAGACTGAAAGTCCCCACACTAGCCTAACTCTTCGCATTGATTGAAATAAAAAAAGCTCGACTTGTCCAAAAATATTATTTTTCTTCAATACTATGTAACATTAAAAACGATACGGGATAATGAGTGAATGAGATTGAAATAAAAGATCTTAACAATTATGGAAATCAAATCTAACGACTAAAACACATATAGCATTGATGTCAGTCCCATCCAAAGAATTCCTCTTTTTTTTTTTTGTTCAAATAAGGGAGGACACTAATTCCGATGGCTGAAGTAATGCTGGTTTGGAAGTGCTTTTAAAATAACTAAAAGTGTTTTTAGTGAAATTGTTTTTGGAACCAATCCTTAATACAATGATAAGTAAACCCTGGAAAAGCAGTTTATTACTTCATGCAAGAAGCACAAAGTAAGTGCTTCTTGTAGGAAGCACTTTAAGTGTTTTTGGAAACCAAAAGCATTCTCTAAAAGAACATCCAGTCATTTTAAAAGTAGTTCCAAACAAACCTGTAAACATCCATTTGCCAACAAAGTAACAAGTTAACATCTTTATACAAATTTGTTCAATGGTACTTATTAAATCAAGGCTATATGTCGCAAGTGCGCGCACCACCGCCAAAAATAGCTCGACTTGTCCAAAAAATTATTTTTCTTCAATATTATGTAACATTAAACGATACAAATAATGAGTGAATTGAGATTGAGATAAAAGATCTTAACAATTATGGAAATCAAATCCAACGGTTAATACACATATAGCATTAATGCCAGTCTTGTCTAAAGAATTCCTCTTTTTTTTTCTTTTTTTTTTCAAGTAGGGGAGGACACTAATTCCTATGGTTGAAGTAGTGCTGATTTGAAAGTGCTTTTAAAATGATTGAAAGCGCTTTTAGTGAAAATGCTTTTGGAACCAATCCTTAGTATAATGGCAAGTAAGTCCTGAAAAAGCAATTTATTACTTCATGCAAGAAGCACGAAGCACTTTAAGTGCTCCTTGTAAGAAGCACTTTAAGTGCTTTTCAAAACCAAATGCATTCTCTAAAAGAACATCCAATCATTTTAAAAATAGTTCCAAACCAATCCATAAACATCCATTTGCCAACAAAGTAACGAGTTAAACATCTTTTTACAAATTTGTCCAATGCTACTTAAGAGCTCAAAGCACTTTCGGCAGCCTAAACGATATTTACCCTCCTAAACCCTAAACCCTCAAAACTTACCACACTCAGCCCCGGTTACACAATAACAAGTCATTCACCGGAATCTCCAATGCCCCTCTTTGAATTGGGTTAACCGGAAGAGGGGCATCTTAAGCTCCCCAACAACGATGTTCCCCGCATTACCTGCATGCAGAAAGGAGGAAGTAGATATGTCCACTTCGTTTTTACAATAAAGCTCGTGCACGAGAACATCCACTATTCTGCAGCTATATTGTACTGCAGAAAATGAAACTGAAACAAAAGCGGAAGTATACACGCCCGGTGGGAAACAAAAAGAGAAAAACGAGGCAATATGCGAAAGAATGGAACTATTATAGAAATTAAGGCTAACTAATCCAATAATGTTTCTACAATGAAGCATTTTTTACATACACTAAACGCCATCTCTCATGTACACCGCAAAAAAGAAAAGAACGAAAAAAAAAAAGAAAAAAAGAAGAAGAAAAGAAAAGGCAGAAATTCTGTGTATGAACATTGAGGATGGCAGTCGTACCTGTTATCTTCTATGATGCAAAAATTGATAACTAGGCACATCATCTACAAGACCGCAAAATGTTATTGGCTGCTTTATTCTTTAATGTAATCCTCTGGCCTAGTCTCTCTCTGGCCTGTCACCTCCAATCTGTGTTATATCATCATCTCTCCTCACTTTTGGAGAAGATGGACCCTTTATCGAGGTTTGAACTGGATCGGTTTGGGGGTCATATTTCTGGGATGCAAGGTAATGCAGCGCTGTAACTATGTCAGTTATGACAGGCCGCATATTGGGCTGCTCTTGAACGCACATCGCAGCAATAGCAAGAGCTTGGTATAATCCCCTGACTGGATAGTGACCTTGAAGCAACGGATCCACCATTATTGAGAACTTCTTCCGGTCTCTGAACATGGGTCTTGCCTGAAAACAATATAATGGTTAAGGATACACAACCAGTTGTGAAACCAAACTACTGATAATTATATACATGTAACGAATTTCTATTTACTCCACTGAAAAGATAACAACCAATATTTCCAATTCTATATGGACTACATCGGCTAGTTTCTATGCATGTGCGGGCAACTCAGTTGGAAATACTCAACATTTCTACTTTGGATATCAAAGTAGGGACAACAAATCAACCGCAAGATGAAAAATCCCCCAAGGATAGTCCCTTTTAGCTGAATGATGCCCCTGTTCATTTCCTTCATCTGTAAGGAAAGTAAGTTTCAACAAAATCCGATCATAATACTTGTATCCAGCCTCTTGGGCCCGACCTAACATATGCCTACAAATCTGATAAACAAAGGCTTCCAGAAATATCAGCATTTCCGAGAATTATTGTGTAGCACACAATATTTCAAAGAACAGCAGCTACCATGAATTTAACATATCCAGTTCCACCAAATGAAGTGTAATAGTAGATATCGAAGAAGAGAGTGCAACTAGAGCTATCTTACCCATGCTACCAGGTTCTGCTCTCTGACGGGTCTTGTATTATCAATAGCTTTCCTTCCTGTGATAAGCTCCAAAAGAACAACCCCAAAGCTATAAACATCTGATTTGAAAGTCAGCTGACCTGTCATGGCATAATCCGGTGCACAATACCCATACGTGCCCATAACCCTAGTAGAAACATGAGTTTTATCTCCACTGGGACCTACTTTAGCCAAGCCAAAATCCGATAGCTTTGGATGGTACCCCTCACCGAGCAAAATGTTCGAGCATTTCAGGTCACGGTATATAACAGGGGGCTGCATTTTCTCATGCAGATACTCTAAACCCCTAGCAGCACCAGCTGCTATCTTCATTCTTGTATTCCAGTCAAGCACATTCCTGCTGGGTGAAGGATCTGTAAAAGCAAAACAAATGTGATACTTAAGTCAAACTCATTGCGATATAAAGGGCAGATGCAAAGAAAGTGAAAAGGTAATCTCAATCATAACACAAGAACGGGATTTTGGAGTGTTTCAGATGCATACCATGCAAATGGTTTTCCAAAGATCCTAATGGCATATATTCATAAACCAATAGCCTCTGATCTCCCTCGGCACAGAATCCAAGCAGTTTGACAAGATTAGGGTGGTCAGCCAAACTAAGCGTCAATACTTCGACAACAAATTCCCTAATTCCTTGGCATCCATTACGATCAAGCTGCTTGATAGCAACAACCTAGAACAACAACAACAGCAAAATTGGGTCAGCCCTTGAGCTTATAAGTCATTTATTAAATGAAAATCAAGGAACAAAACACATATTTTACACAATGGCATAAAAGGGAACGTGTAATGTCCAGCATTCAACTCAACGTACAAGTTCAAAGCTCAATTGAAGAAAACAGTTTTAACAGTGTAATTTAAAAGCACTCAATGATAGAAGTAACATTCGCATAAACACTACTGACCTGATTAATTTTCTCCAGTTGACCCTTGTAAACTTTTCCAAACCCTCCTTCACCTACAAAGCAATCAGACCTGAAATTGCCAGTTGATGCTGCAAGTTCAGCAAATGTAAACGTCTGTGCCCGCTTGCCAGCGGTTTTTCCATCGTTGGAACCCTCCTCTTTTATATTCAACTCCTTTACATCCAACGACAACTGGTCATCCTTCGTGGCCTCCTCCTTTTTTACAACCATTTCCTTTTTCACACCCAATTCCTTTTTCACATCACCATTCGTATTCACTTGACCTATCAAAACGGCCAAATATGCAGACAAGTAAGTAAGAGAGATTTGAGAATGCCAAGAAAAAGACAAAATACAGCACATGGTAAGCAAAATCCAAAATTCGATATCGATTAGTTCTCTCAAATATGGGGTGAAAAATCGGAGTCATGTAATATATAAATGCAAACAAAGAATACAAACTGACAAAATTCGAAACTAAAAGGAGTGTGGAATATGGATTGGACCTTCCCAACCAAGCAAAAAAACAAACAAAATGAATGAGCAACAGTCTCAACGAATTGAACACCAACAGGAACCAATTTAAACTTATTAATTTAGCACCAGATGAGAAAATTAACAATTTAACATAATCCCAGATAAACAAAAAGGATTAAAATTTTACAAATGTGATTAAATCCCATTCAGCCATATGTCTTTCCTCATCCACTGCAAAATTTCAAATATTCACACTAATTTCATGGCAAAGTCAAAAGCACCCACCTTTTGAATCGAAATTTCAAAAAAAAATGGAAGAAAGTCAATAACTCATACAATGAAACGAAATTTAATGGCTTTTATTCACAGATTGAAAGACACACATAAGCCCAGGTAGGATAAAGATTACCACCCACGAAATTCAAACAGATTTAGAAAAAGAAAGCAAATTATAGCAACCGAAAATAAAACCCACAATGCCAAAAGTGAAAAAAAATAACTTCCAAAAATATTCTCAAAATAATACCAAAAAAAAAAAAATCAAATATGATCATATAACACATCGGGTTCATCTCAATGACCCCAAATTTAAATCAAATAATTCTGGAAAATAATTTTCACCTTGATGATTGGGTTTGTTGGTGTTGATGTTGGTAATTTCCTTCTCTGGTTCTTTGACTGATTTCTTAGAGCAGCAAAAACAGCTCATCGTTTTTCCCCCTTTCTTTTTTTCTCGTGCTCTCACTCCTTATCTCAACTGGCGCACAAGAACAGAGCACCAGATAAGCATAGAAAGCCAACCAACCAAGAAACCAGAGCAGAACGAGAGAAGAAGAAGGAAGAAAGCGTTTGCAAAACTCAGACACAAAGTGACAGACTCTTGTATATTTTTTGTGAACTTTTTCTTTAATATAATGGGGAGGGGGGGTGGTTTGTGATGCAAATCAACCGCAAAAGTAAATTCAATTTTGACAAATTGATGTTCGCCACGTCATTAACTTTCCCTTTTCAACATTATTTTTTATCTTTTATTTACCACGCATCTATGGAATTTTACATTCGACGTTTTTTGACAAGTAGATTACGCAATGTTATATGTCTGTCGTTGTTATCTTTTGACTTATGGTTATAATTCGACTGATACGAGATGCTTACGATGTGTATACAGTGTATGCTATACACATACGATGTGTATACGAGATGTATCATCATGAATTCCATTCCCTATACCATGTTCAACGTTTCTTGACAAGTAGATGGGCCAATACCATATCCATGTAGCATTGTTCAATTTTGGAACTATATTTATAATTTGATTAACACGATGTGTATGTATACAGTATGTATCTAAATTGTATTCTACATGTATACAATGTGTGTATTTTAATTATTTTATTAATTTTAATCAATTGGGAAACAGCCTATTTGCTATTTAAGAGTAAAGCTGCGTAGGATAGACGTTCCATCTCCTGGTCCATGGAAGGTTGCATAAATCTATCAACAAAATGGTATTAGCCTTCTTCGGTGTTTGGTAAGACAATATGGTTTTTTTTTTTTTTTTTTTTTTTTTTTGACATTTTAGTATGAAGGCTTACTTGTCATTAAATTTCTTGCATGTAAGGTTCAGTTTGATTTGTAAATCAGAAATTTGGAAGCAAATACTGAACGAAACTTTTATATGGCAAACATATTATTAGAAATCTGATGTTTTTAATTGCATATCTCGTAGTAGTTAGAACAACATAATTGAAAACCTAAATGGCCGACTAGTTTGCAATTTGGCCTCAATAAGGCATTCTTTACGGTATTTCCCCAATATATAATTACACCCAAGAAGTATTTTTTTTAATTTTTTTTTAAACGATATCTACACTAAAAGGGTGAGGAACTAGGTTAAGCGTTACAATGAACTAGCAATAATGTGATTCAAATCCACCTTTGGCGAGAATTGAATTTAAAACTTCTTACTTACAATTAAAAAGGAATAAAACATGGCTTTAGAAAAAGATTCTCCGCGAATCAAAGCCTCGGAATCCTTTTGACCCAACAACACGGGCCGTTTGCTTTTGATTCAACGGCTACAAGCAGAGGATCCTTCTAAAAGTTATAATAATTGTAACCGTTGGATCAAAATTCAACCGTCCGTATTAATGGATTAGGAGGGCGAGGATCCAATTCCTTAATCTTATGCATAACTTTCGTAATGTAAAAATAAAGAGTAAATTACATAGTAGCCCATCAGGTTTGAGATCTATTACAACTCCATACAACACCTTTAAAATATTTCACTTTCATACCTCAAATACTATTTTATTTCAAAATAATGCATCCGTTACATTTTCCATCCATTGATCCGTTAAATACTGACGTAGCTGTCACATTTATGCCACATGGCAATTTTTTTTTTTAAACCTTAATCTTCTAAATTTACGAGGAAAAAAAAATTAGATAATCTAGATCCTCCCCCCAAGCCCCTGTACCTGAACCTTAAACCAAAAAAAAAAAAAAAACTCTGAAACCCTGATCCCATTACCCCCCCCCCCCATCCGATGCAAAAACCCAGTTCCTATTAAAAAAACCCCAAATCCCATTATTCCTCCCCCGAACAAAAAAAACCTAGATCCCATACCCGGCGAAGTCCGATGATCCACACCCATCCTCCACCTCCTCCTCTACACCCAGCTCCACCTCCTCCGCACGCATCTTCCGCTACCCCAACTTGCAACCCAGAAAGAAGAAGAAAAAAAAAACCCAACACACCCACCCTCGCACACATCTGCTTCCCTCCTCTACACACCTCACTCCTTAAATCCCATCACCCACCCCCAAAAATTGCACTCGAGATTAGGCGGATCTACCACAAAACTAGTCCAAAAATCATCTCAAACTCAAAGTATTTTCAAAACTCACCCACATTGAAAATCATGAGATCTTGGCGCGGGTGGGTGGTCGCTGAAAGGTAGCCGGGGGGAGGAAGGGATCTGGCGGCACCGGGGGGGGGTGTGGTCGCCGAAAGGTAGCCCGGGGGAGGAAGGGAGGTGGGTTGTAGGTCGCGGCGGGGCGGGGCGGGGGGGGTGGGGGAGGGAAGGGTTTTGAGCTTTTCTTCTTCTTCTGTTTCAATTTTTTTTTAGGTTTCTGGGGAGGTCGCTGGGGGTGGGTGAGGGATGAGAGACATGGGTTTTTTTTTTTTCAATTTTTTTGTTTTTGAGAAAATTCAGGTTTTAAAAAAAAATTAAAAAATTATTTTATTTGTCACGTGGCAGACATTTGGCAGCCACGTCAGCATTTAACGGATTAATAAATGAAAAATGTAACGGATGTACTATATTGAAATAAAATAGTAGTTGAGGTATGAAAGTGAAATGTTTTGAAGTTGTTGTATGCGATTGTAATAGACCTCAAACCTGAGGGGCTACTATATAATTTACTCAAAAATAAAATACCCTACAGATAACGAGGGCCGGAATCTGCTGCATGCGTAGCACTAACAACAACATCCGAGCCGTCGGAGCCGTGCCTATCGCTCACTTTGGTCAAACTCGCATTAAATTTACGGCATTTTTTGTAATGTCTGTAACGTGTTCCTATCGCCTAAGTGCTCTGGTTACGTGGCCGTTTATCATTGGTATTCGTGATTTTAGTTGCGAGCTGGTTCGCAACTAATCTTTGTCCTTTTCCTGTGGCGAGCAACCGAACATCTCTTCTTTCTGAACATTCACCGGCAGGTGATGGTCATCCGTCACAGCTCTTCCCACAGCCGTCGGATCTGTAATAAAACAAAAGTTGATGCTTGATATTCCCCGGGTGGGTCCCACTGAATCAGCATTTTACGGCCCCTCTGACTTTACGCGTTTGCCCTTAATAATGCCGTGCTGTGTGAAACGATGGTCTCAAACGGTGATCGACGCGCTCGCCTGCCATAACTCTGCTGCGTATTTCCCAGGGGAAATTAAAACTGGAAAAAAAAATAGAGTTTTTGGTGTCCAACAAATTGTAATTTGACATGTGGATATCACAGCTGGCACTTGGCTTTGACTGTATTTAATTTACTTTGTGAAATTTTGAACCCAAAAGCTGTTTAGGTGGGTAAGTTAGGAGAGAAATTTTTGGGTAGGAAAATGATGTACATGGTGCGGATGAATTAGTAACTGTCGTTAACGAAATAAAAGTACGTGTAAAATTTTGTTTAATTATTTTTAGTTTATTGACACATTATTATTTAGCGGTGTATGTTTTTTTTTTATGTAGATGGAAATAGGGGTGGGTTTGATTTCATTCGGTTCGATTTTTTGTCAAAACTAAAATCGAATCAAAATTTTGGTTCGGTTCAGTTTGGTTTAATTTTCTAGGTTTATTTATTTATTTTAGTTTTGTTCGATTCGGTTTCGGTTTTTTTTTTTTTTATCATGAAATTTAGAAAATAGGCTTGCATTGGTAGACTAATAATAAGAAAATAGAGAAAGTGGGAAAGTGGAAAGGTAGTTGTACATATAAACCAATCATATTCTATCAACAACCTCAATTGCAAAGAAAAATGATCATCGTATCCATTAAAAAAATAAAAAAATAGAGAAACTCATCTAAGTTCTAAGGCTTTTTTAAAACTTTACTCTATAACCCATGAAATATTCTCCCTATCTGAACAAAGTATGCTCCTTGAAAAGCCCTAGGCTTAGTTTCAAACTTGGCAACAAAGTTTCACAAAAAAAAACATTATGGGCATACATTCATAAAATATAAAGGGATTCGGTTTGGTTCGGTTTCCAAACCTCCAAAACCGAAACCAAACCAATAAGGTTCGGTTTGGTTCATTTTTTTTTCGGTTCTATTTCTTTTCAGTTTTTTATTTTTTTTGTTTTGGTTCGGTGTTCGATGTTCGGTCCCTTTTTTTTCAGTTTTTGATTTTTTGAACCCACCCTAGTTGAAAAAGTACATGCATTGAGAATCTTCACATATAAAAATTTGTCTCCCTATGATTTCATTCATAATACGTCAACTTCCTCCAGTTAAATTGCATTTACCAAATTTTTTTTGCAAACAATGATTTTATTACGAAGCATTACATGTTTTGTTAGTTATGAGAAGTTGTTATCAACGTTCCAAAATATGTTATCATGCACCTGTCTCTCTATGTATGACATCAAACTCGTTTTTTGACACAATAGTGGAAGAGGTGAAATCGATCCTAGGACTTACATATAGGTAATGATCTATCAATATGTGAGACAGTTTATGTTATTTTTTTTAAAGAGAAAATTGTAGTAATGGTTCTTTAACTTTAACTTAACTAGAGCAATAGTCTCTCAACTATAAATCAAAACATGTAGTTATGGTCATTTTCGTCAACATTGTTAAAACTTCCGTTAAATTAAGTCACGTGTCACGCAAGTGAGGTCAGAATCAAGGGGCAATTATGGAAAACTAAATGAAAAAATTGTAGAAATTGTCCCTCAACTTTAACCCAATTGAAGAAATGGTTCCTCAACTTTAATCCAATTGGAGCAATGGTCTCTCAACTTTAACCCAATTGTAGCAATGATTCTTCCAACATGACTCGTTTTGACATAAGTTTTGACAAAGTTGAAAAAAAAGACCACAGCGGCACGTTTTGAGAAGTTAAGGGACCTTTTGTTATGGATTTTTAATTAAGATATCATTACTTTAATTGAGTTAAAATTGATAGATCATTACTACAATTTCCTTCTCTTTAAACTTTGGAAAAAAATTAGGTGGAGGAATATTATATATCTACCTCTAATGGTAAGTGTTTGTACCATGGTAAACGTCACTCTAACATTTAGGAGCAGTCTACTTCACATAGTGTTTCAGAAGGGATTTCGAAAAGGACCGGCATGCACGACCAATACTTATCGTGATGCCATGCAGCACGCACTTTC